TCTTCTCTTATTCCCAAATCCTAATGTTGCTTGAACCTTTGACTTCTACTGTAGCACTTCTTCGATTTCAGGTGTGTTGGATACTCTTGCATGTGTTTTCCTTTTTATTATATTTTTTTAGGTTCTGCTTTGGAATTTTTTTGCATCCGAATAAAACCTAATCTCAGCTTTCTATAACTCTTACTTTCAGGAATGCTAGATTAAGGCAGTTATGTATGCCGATGAAATTGAGCAGTATGCAAATAAGCTTAAACTCATCAATACCTACCTCATCTCTACTGCAAAAGTCAAAGTCTCGCCAACTTCATACGGCAAGCCAATACATAAATTTTACTGGATTCTTGACAAAGAAACAGTAATTGAACATATCAAACCATCTAATGAACTTGAGAAACCACTTTCACCACCAACCAAGCTGAATATCACAACCTTTGACCGCATTCCTCATATGATGGTTGATTCTGCTGCTGAAATTGGTATATCGATCCTAATAGCAACTATCAGGCTAAAATATACATGTTTATTAATACACAGACTTACAACATTTCATTATGTATTATATAACCAGATATACTGGCAATCGTTCTTCGTTGTGGTCCTCAAAAATACGCAGGTTGCAGTCATCATAAGTGTCAAGAAATTACCCTTTGTGACAATCAGTAAGTATAAGATTTCACCTTCTATTTTCCCATTTTTTGAAAATATTTTGAATGAGTAAAGACCTTTTTTATTTGTTTGATCGGATCATCAGTTATGGTCTGAGCGTTATCATAGTACTTAGTCTTCTCTCCTCACGTTCTCAGGAAAAATTAGTTTCTCCTCACTCTATGGGAGGATTTCGGAGAAATAGAAGGAAATGAAATTGCAGCTGAAATGGCAACAGAGGCAGATCTGATTGTAATCCTTGGAAGGAGTATAGGAATCTCTACTTATCAAGGTACATATGCGCTGAACTTTTTTCCAACATAATTTTAGATAATAACGAAACATTAAACAAGCTATGTGTTATACAGGATTGTCACTGTAGACTAGGTTCAATTCCACAGTACGTGTGAATCCTAATTACCCACAGGCAGTAGAACTGATCAACTGGTACTCACATTTCATCATTATTCTCTAACTTTAATTTGCATGTAAAGAACCTACTAAACATATTATCTATTGTAACAATAGGGCAAAAGAAAACAAAAGAATGTTGTTAAGTCGTACGTCAGAGAAAACCTCAACAAGCTCATCTATCCCTCCCATGATAGTGACTCCTGCTGGCCAACAAGTTATCTCTATTGCAGAAATGTCATCAGCAACTTCTGTAAGTCATACTTAAAGCTGGTCATTTGAGAGTATGCTTATTGCTTTTCTCATTGTCTAGCTTTGGCTAAATAATAAAAACAAATTATATTTACTCATGAGTAATTTAACACGTATTATGTATATGATATTTTCCGACATATGGGACTGTTCTATGTTGAGGCAGAAATGGCCATATCAGATGAATTCTAAGAGTTTTGTGTGCTTTAATGCTCATGATGCAAACAGAAGAAGCGCACAAAGGATAGAAAGGCTTTTGAATGTCCAAAATGCAATCGCAAAACAACATTAATGCCTCGGTACTATACTTTTGACTTGTAAATTACAGTTTGTACAAAATATTACATATATTATACACAAATTTTAAACTTGCCATGATTTCAGGTGTATCTTTCAAATTGATCTTATTGATGGTACTGCTACAACCACATCATCTATCTCTGCTGAATTGGGAGAAAAATTACCTTCCATGATTAGCAAAAACAGTTTAGCATATATGCTTAGTTCTAAAGTGTTTGTTGAATCCTTCCATGATAGCGGAAGACATATTTGACATAACTTGCGCTAAGGTGCTCTCTCATTCCCGCTGGCTACTTATACACATGTATTGTCACAATACCATATATCTTTGTTGTCATAATAGTATATCTCTTCAGCACAAACAGTTTACCACATATGCTCTGTTCTAAACTATTTACTCTTAACTTGTTATATTTACAGCGACAATCATTGTCTCTTACTCATGTCCATGAGATGTTGTCCAACAAAGTATTCACAATTCAGCTGAGGAAGTCATCTTGGGGCAGCTCAAATACCCGCATGCAACTTTGCTTCCTTCTTTCCTACATGGAAAAGGAACATACTCCACAGAGCACTACTGATAGGAATTCTAAAAAGATAAGACCTTTGGAAATAAGTGAGGTGGAGGTGATGGCAACAACTACTACAGCTGGTTCTTCAAATGCGACGCCGAAATTTGAACCACCCACACCAACCAAAAAGGTGTAAAAGGTCAGTCTACATCTAACTTTCACACCAAACTATAAGTCACAATGATTAACAATTCCAAATATTTAGAAGTATTTCAAAAAGTTGTGGTAAAAAAAACTAATACAGTTTTAAAAACTAAAGGTGGAATCATTGAGGTATTCGAAGAATATCGTTCATAATGTGATCAGTAAGTTGTGCAAGTCTTTTGAAATCCACGAAGTATACTACTACAAGAATTTACAACCCACTACATTTTTCTTCCTTCAAATTTATCATTCATTTGGAATTTCAAATTTGTTTAATTGTGTTGGATTTTGATCATTCTGAGTTGGATTACTAATGTAATTAAATTCCTTTATAGGAAAGAAAGTATGGAGAATGAAGAATCTGAATTAGATTATTTTAGTTTTAACAATTGAGCAGCTTCATTACTTCAGAGTTAGGACCAGCTCTTTGGGCAGTGATCTGTGTGTGTTTCTCAAGTTATTAAGCATTCAAATGTCTTCTATTTTTAGGGAAATGCATTATACTAATTACAGAGCTGATCACAAAGAGATTCAACAGGGAACCTATCACTTTTATCATGATTCCATGACTTTCTATTTGATACCTAATGAGCATATAAATTTAGCTTCAAAGTTTTGCTTCTGAAAATTCCATTTGCTCTTTTCCAGTTACTATACTAAAAATGTGCCAGTTTGGAGGCTAATATTTAAATTGTTTTGCTATGTGTTGCCATATTTTCAATTTCTGACAGACTTCCCTCACTCCATTTTGTCACTTTTGCTTAATAGGGGGAATAAAATGAATCAGTCTCCCTATGCTATGGTTTTTTGAATGAAGAAGATTAGCTACTAAGAAGCGAACTCCAGCATCCTCTACATATGATAAACAATGACATGCTAATCTTAGATACCAAAACTGAAACATCTGCTATATTATTTTGGTTGTATTATATTAGTTAGTATTTGCAGATCGTTCAAATCGGCATCATACTGATGTCTGTTGTACATATTCTGATTATTTCTAATAGTATATAATATAATATAATATATGATATTAGAATGTAAAATTAAGCTTTCAACCCAACAAGAGAATACTCAAAAGAAGAGAAAAGATAGTCCACAATAATAGCATTAAGGCAATTTACTACGTTCAAGAAAGGGTATAGGAATTAAATATTCATTCCCTCATTTCATACAAGAACATACAACATCAAAAGAGGAAAAAAGAAATGTACAGTTGATGTTTCTCCTGGCAACATTGGAAAGTCCAGAAGTTGTGAAACCACTAGAATTTGAATGACAGATAAAAGCAGAATGTTTCCAACAACGTCTGCAACATTCTCCTTTCCTTTTCTCTCAACATTTAATTTCTTCTACTTTATAGATGATTTGTTATTGTGTACAATTAATAGATTCAATAAGCATACTTTGTTCCTTACTTATTACGTCATCCTTTTTACTATTACACACATAATTTAAATAAATTGTTTCCTTGTAATTTGTGCTTTATATATTTTTCAGCAATAAAATTTATCATCAAAGGTGAGCACATTATTATGTTGGAGCACGGGCCATCCCCATCTAGTATATTACAAGTTTACAGTCAAAGCTTATATAAGGCATATAATGGGGACCTAACCACAAATAAAAAAATTGTTGAGTACTAACTAAATAGATTTTGCAATATACTTCTTTTTGTTATCTAATTTGTCGTCGTCCACAACAAAGTTAACGATGGAATCCATAGTAGACGATGAACAAGAAATCTCAATTAAATATAAATGGTGATTAACTATCACATTAGCTTGTATATTATATATTTATACTATCATAAAATTTCGCGCCCCAATGAATTTATCATGTTCAGACTTCAGACTCTTTTTATGCTTAATTACACGCCAAATGATTAATATAATGTGTTAATGATAGAACATGATATAAATAAGTTAGGTATGACGATAAATAAATTGGGGATGATTTAACGATGGGTTTGGTGTTTTCATGAGAGGGGAGAGATAATTTCATCACAACATTAGCAATTAGGAAAAGCAGTAGAGGGAAAGAAACAGGAAAGGCTAAGCTAACAAAAGATGGTTATCGATTCAAGAACGTAAAGCGTCCCTGTTTTTACATGGTTAGACGGGTAGAGAAAACTTGAGATTCTCAACCCCTCTTCTTAAGGGGGAAAAGCAGAAGAAAAAAACTAACAACAACTACACTACTTGTCTCTTCTATCCACTGTTTACCTTTCAACCGGTGAAAACATCAAAAACTAGTTCAGACCACATATCGGTAAGTAACATAACGCCCTGCAGTCTCACTTGGTCTAATAATTTTCACGACTTGGCCACGTTTTAGCCCGTAATATCTAGCAATTGGGTCGGTGATCTGAATCCGAGGAAGCTGTTGTAGCAAAGAAAATATTAGGTATTCAATCAGGTAAGTATAGGAATCAATCTTGCCTATCTAAATAGCATAAATCAAAACAATGGCAATGGAACCAAGTTGATAGGTAGAAACAAAACAATCAGCCAAAAGGAAGAAGCAGAAGATAACAAGGACATTATTGTGATGATCAACAATGCATGCAGGTAGTTTTTCCATCAAAGATATTAACATTAGGTTTATCAAAGCCCCCTTCAACTGATCCAGTTCATTGGAGACTGAATAGTTCCGTCGATATATCTGTGCAAGCCTCTCAACTGGACACTAGTTCCTTATAAAATTCCCCTCAGACAAACCCCAATTCATACTAGAAGCCCAGCTGTAGAGATGTATTTACATAGACAAATAGCTATTTGATACAAGGTTTTGATTATCTTTCACATAAAATAAGACGACGCAAAGAAAAAAAATGCTTAAATTTTTCTATACGACTAAGGGAACAAGACAGTTTCAACTTTAACACTGTCATGAAGAATGCTGTTCTATCTCCAATTATATCCCTTCCAACAAACTCATTCCCAATGGGTTGAAAGGGAATACAAAGCCATTGAATTAATTATTAAATTGGTTATTTCTCATTTATTCCATTCTTTCACTCTTGACCACCACTAGCTCTACAAAAATGGCTTCACCATTATGCACGCAACACGTGTCTCCTGGTTTTTAGTGTATTATATGAGGTGAAAAATTTAGCAAGTGAAATAATATTACAAAGACGAACCTGAGTTTCTTTCACAGTATATCTTTCCAACAAGGTCTTCTTTTCTTCAGGAGTAAGTGTTTGGTGCTTAGGAATTAGAACATGGTTTTTTATGTTTACCAACATCTCTGCCTCCTGAAACATGAATCATTTATCTTGATGATTAAGAAGATTAAGCATTCTAAGACAAAATATAACTATCAATCACTTAAAGAAACTAAACGTCTAATGTGCATATTAGAAGCCAAGCGAGCTCACAGATTTTCTAAATCAAACAAATAACAAACGTGTCACCCCTAGAAGAGTACCAAATAACCCTTAATATGAGTGAAAATGCTAGCAGAATCATTCTCTATCAAAATCCATACCAGCTTCGAATAACATAAAATTGCAGAATCATTCACAACAGATAACTTTTTCAAACAAGTAAAGTCACTATAAACGGAACGTTGATTTGTCCATATGATGTACAATAGTCTTAAGCCATTCTCTTGTGGATTATGAAGTCAAGTACATGATATCTAGGCAGGTTTAATTCATAATGGCATATAAGCTAGTTTATTAACTCATATACTTGAAAAGGGGATTTGGATTCTATTATCATTGTAGCTTTGAGTTAGAATTCGCTAAATAAGGCACTCTCATCCCTGAACTACCTCTCTCCTTTTCACTGCTTTCTGGCCGTGGTGCGGACTTGGCAACCCCATATGGCTGCTAGGCATTTTGGATATGCCTGCACATAGTAGGAAGTAGATTCTTACACTTGACAATTGTCTTTGCATTTTATTCTAATTCTAGAAAAATTTGAACATCTATCCTTGTGAAGCTTGAAAATGTCATCAATGGAAAGGACCTGTAAACTTATCTTTTTAAAAAATATCCAAGAATCCCCTGCTTTCAGCTTTGAAGCTCAGTGGTATAGACACCAATATCCCCCTCCACACTTTTGAAAATTACACTTATTTGATCCATTGTTCCTAAGAAATATCTCACAAGTGATAAGACAAATTCTATTAGGAACTAGTCACAACAGACTCTTGTTTAACATAGATCTTGATACATTGAAACTCTGGATATCAATGTTTGGAAAAGTGTATCTTAGATATACAATTTTCCAAGTTAGGACACACATTGAAGACTTCCTTTTGAGAGTGCATCAACAATACGCAATTCAGAACTATATAACATTATCTGATTCCTACATTTTAATCATATTAACCATTCACAGTCTCAACTCTCAATGATATCTTTTTTAATAACAAGCTGCCACCACTAGCATACCACACCACAGATTTCTATCCAATAGCATTAGCCATGCAACACAACAGCAAATTGGAAGTACAATGAATTTCAACACTTTTCCAATGAAACAAATAACTGAAGTGCCTCCACCCAAAGAATAAGAATGACACTAATTACGAGAAATCCCAGAGGACATGCTTCCGCTCCAAACACATATCTAGGGTAACGTGAAGTGGCATCATCATTATGCCATTTTGATACAAAGATAGTCCACTTATCAAAATGCAAATGGCATTGTAACAACATATTGTCTCTCTGATTTTGGTGGTCCTACTACTTAAGTATCAGGTGCTCAAATGAATGGTAGTCAGACCAAAATCAAAGAAACCAAATAACAAAGATACCAAAAAATAAAATGATCACAAAACTAGGAGTAAACTAAGCTCCTCAGCTATTTCATAACAATTTCAATCCTTCATTCAAGTAGTAAGAACAAACTAAATAGAAGAAATAGTACAGTAGTCACCTGGAAAACCTCCAAGTGGAACTTTATAGATATTTCACTTATGCAGGTACGAGCGAAGGGAGTCAAATTTTGTTGTACAATCAGGATTGCTTGGAAGACATCTTCTTTTTTCATGCGCTCTGTATAAGTTTTCATGGTCTTAACACCAACCTTTGGCTCCTCCGGAAAGAACACATATATCTAGAATCAAACGGAAATGGCTGAGACATGGGTAGCAAATAATTATGAAATCCTCAGGTATACAATGAAGAGATATACTGTACTAACATACTAGTAGAGAGGGAGTAACTTAAGCCACAAAACCTGAAAAAATCAAAGTTGTTGCTGGAGAATAAAACAAACACCGAATATTTCATCAATTGAAGGGAGAAACTTTTTTACCAATCATCAATTTTTGGAAACATTAAAATCCTTAGACAAGAAAGCGGTGCACTTAAACTGACAGTAACTATAATTACAATTATGCAAGAAAAGGAAATTGAAAGAGCATACTTGATCAGAACTGTTGTTACGTTTGGCTTTCTGAAGTACAAGGTCTTCTCTCTTCATGTTCTCACCATACTTCTGAAGGAACTCATATTTTGACATATTTATCTCAAAATCTCCAACAAGGTAGCCCCTATCAGACAACATTTCCATCAGTGTCTTACGAACTCTGAAAAGTCTTGAGAGCTCCTCCTCTGATAAAGTCATCTTTGTGCTACTAAATTCAAAACAAACAAAAAAACAATTATTATGGTAAAGAATATGGTAGAAGTCCTAGTTACAGCTAATACTCTGAACAGTGAACACTGAATGCATCAGACAAGGATTGCAGTATGTCATCTTCGTAACAACAAACTTTGCCCAACTTCCTTATCTAAAGGTCAGACTCCTCCAGCATGGTGGTTAACATTTTTTATAAATCTCAGTACATCATGCATGGACAAGACAGACAGAAAAACTATATTGAAGACGCACAAAAAACTTCTCTAATGAAAACTGTTTTATTTTTAATAGCTTCTGTTGCAAATAAAATCACTAATGCAAAAAAGACAAGTTCAACAGCAATGGTGTATAAGTTGTTAAATTATATAGCATATGTGATACCCACAAATTTCCTTCTTGAAACTCTCAATTTAAACCCAATATTGAGAGAGGCTGATTTTTCATCATAGAAAATTGAAGACAATGTTCATTTTGTGGTCACTAGATCAAATCATAAAAAAGTAAAATCCCCAGGAAAGGGATACAAATTTCTTACAATCCCATAGGAAAGGGATATAAATTTCCTATCTTTTATTTTCTGATCAGTAACGATCGTATAATTCTATCAATTCGCACATGAATAACAGCTAAAGATCAGTTAGAATATGTTCTAATATGGAAATGTAGGTCCAAACGTGAGGATGTGAAACTAGCACTTGAAAGAATCATGTGCGAGAGGAAGGTCCAATAGATTGCATCTCAACTTCAATCAATATACTAATTTCGGATGCATAGTACACAATATTGGGGGGGTGGGGGAAGTGTAGTTAGCAATTATTGGTACTTAATGCATAATCTGAGCATGAGTTCATGATAAAGTACAAAGAAGCACACAAAATATGAGAAGCAATGACCAACTGAAATAATCCAGACAATTTCACATTTTTCATCTCCATAGTTGTTGTCCTCCTAATAATCCGTCATTATCTTCTCCATCATAATAAACCTTGCCATAGTTTTCATTACCAATTGAATCACATCAATGTATTTAGTTGCAAGACACAGCAGGGAATACAACTGTAACAATAATGAAGATGTACTACAACCGCATACACATACCCTCGCGACAATGCAAGAAAGAAAACAGTCCTCGCCCATATCCTTTTTTGAAGAGGAACATGACCATACCCTTTTCTGTTTCCTATTCTAATTTCACCTTCTAGATATTGAGAACCTTACAAGTCTTGTTTTAAGATAAAAGAGGATTTTATACAGAAAATTAAGCATCGTTTGAATCTTTTCCAACTTCAACAGGTACTTGAGTATAAATTCTTTATGGGCTAGCTTGCACACACCTCAACTAATTCACCGGGTACATCATACCTTCCACCAACACAGATACCATGTGACTCTATCCACCCAGAATTTGACTTGTATTTTCAAACTTAATCAACCATTCTTTTGATCACTAAAAAACAAATGATATTTAAGCCTAAAACTATCAATTCCTTTGGTAACTATACAATACAATACTGGCTGAACAAGGGTCATTTGGTTGAGAACAAGTCATCCCGGAATAAGTTATCCTGGGATAAACTATTCCACCATATATGAATGATAACTTATCCCATTACTAAGGTATAAATGGTGTGATAAATAATTTCAGGACGGTCTAATAACTCCAACCAAACGCACTATAAAATAGTCCTTCATTTTATACATGGGATTATTATAACTCATACCTCACACTAAACGACTCCTTACAATTTAAAATCAAATTCAACATCATCCTCCCATTATACAAGCAACAAGTTCAAACACTAATTTTCAAGAATAGAAGATCAGCATGATAACCAATTGCAAATGCAGCTCCAAAGTCCAAATCATTTCCACGTTCAATTAAGGCAGCGATATTCCTTGTACTTCTGAATAAAATTACGTAGAAATTTGCATACATAGAATGTATATATAGAAACAAAGAGAACGAAGATAACACACAGAAATGAGAAATTTTACACAGAAAAAAATTCACAGAGAAACTGAGAAAGTTTCAGCAGAAAAATGAGAAAAAAATAAGGGAATTATATAAATTAAAAAGCACCTGGATAGTATGTATGAAATATTGAAGAACCCTAATGGTAGAGAGCATCGGCGTGTACTCTGTAATTTTAGAACTTTTTTTCCCTTTAAATTTGACGCGTTATAAGGGGGCAGCAAAAATAACTTTTGAACATCTATTTCCTCTTGCAAGGAAAATTTCAGAAAAATATATAACTATATCTAATTTATATCCTAAAAATATAATTCAAAACATGAATTATTAATCTTTAGTCCAAAATTCAATTTAATATACAATACTTTATATTCGGTGTAAAATAATATTCAAAATTCTCATATCAAATAAAAATAATTTAAACTTGATATATAATATGATACATCTAATATATAACGTTATACAAAATTATGAAAGATATTTAAATACATATATACAATAATATACAAAATTATAAGAGGTGTTAAACATTGCTTATTAAACAAAAAGCCGACTTCCTCTTTTTACTTGATTCAAACACCAAATTCATCCATAAAACACCTTAGGAACTACAATAAATCACCTAAAATTTCAAATTTAGGCTCCTCGATACGTAATTAATCTTTTGCAACAATACCCACTTGAATTAGAGTGTATTTGCGAAAACTTGATTTTTAAATTTTGAAACTTTAATAAGCCATGTTTAACACCTCTTATAAATTTGAAAACTAACTCTCTACTATGAGAAGACATATCTTCTCGACCTCACAAGACATTTATATGAAATTCCTCAAATTTAAAGCCTCTAATTCCACAAACTCAACAGATTGATCTAACATCTAAACACTATGATTTATAGTTGTTATGAAATTAGGTCAATTCGGGTAAGCATTGAAAATCTTGGCTATATTGTGTAAAGTAATTGTATGGGTTGCACTTTGAGATAATTTTCACTTTGATTTATTTGTTTTGCTTTCCTTTTTAGTCTATTTTAAAAGATAGTGTTTATTTTTCTTTTTGTAACTCTTTTATTTCAACTTTTCATATATTTTGGTACATTCAACATGTTTTTAATTTAAAACTACAAAATATCATACCCACTTGGCCATAAATATAGCAATCACCTTTTGAAAACTTTTTTGGTCATAAAATTGTCTAATTTTTACGGCCAACAAATAATTGTTGAGTTTATTAAAAATTACATCAAACTTTTATATTTTATAAACAAAATTCGATTATTTATGACTCCAACTAATTATATCTACTCTTTCCCCTCATTGTATACACTCTTAATCTAAAAGTGTATGCTCGTCGTGAAGAAATGTTTATAAAATGTGAGAAGGTTGTATGAAAGGATAGTTTAGTTATTACGTTGTTATTCTTTATTTTTTTTGCACCAATGAATTTTCATAACTAATTGTAATTTGACAAATTGCATTAGTTGGTAATTGTGTTATTGGTAGTTTTTATTAAAATATAGTGCTATAGATTTTGGATAATGTATTATTAAGATCACTACAATTTATTTAAGGGCAAATTACAGAAATCACATATTTTTAAGGCAAAATTGTAATCTAGCCCTTAAAAGTTTACAATTACAGAAATCCCTCAAACAGATACAATAATATAAGCGCTGATACATTACTATGATACGCGAGATACATTAATCGTTAAGTAAGATACATTACATTTTATGCATGATACACTAATCTGATGCGCGAGATACATTAATCTGATGCACGAGATACACTAATCTGATGCGCGAAAATGAGGTATTTTGGAGACTTGTAAAATTTATAGGGGATAATGGTAATAAGTAAACTAAAATGTGGCATTTCTGTAATTTTTCCTTTATTTATTTAAATCGCCTAAAATAGTCATCAGGCCATAATTTTTTCCAAAATAATGGGCCGATGCGTTGTCTTCCTTCTCCTTCTTTGCTTTTGTTGCTGCTTCGCCCCTAATTGTTTTGAGCAAATTATATATTAAAAGACTCAAAATATTGAGATTATTTTCAAGGGCGGTTCAATGTAATCGGAGGCCTAAAGCGAAATCTTAATTAGAGGCCTAAATCTAAATAAACTTCACATGTCTATTTATTTAAAATTTATTTTTCTTACATTTTTTAAATGCAAAGTATTACCTAATATTTCTTTTATACATAAATGATTTATTCGATTTCTTTTTTCAATTATTAGTTTTAAATAAGATTTTATTAATTCAACGTTGAAAAATATTATTTTACTCGGGCAATCATTATATGAATTGTTAACATAGTTCTACAAGTAATGAGTTGACAAATTTCAAATGAATATAAGAGTTAGAACCATAGCTTTGATGAAGTTGATAATTTGGTTACCCCACATTTTACTATGGTTGTTGTAATGCTTGAAAATCTAAGAAGAAATGAAAAAAGAATTTACAATTCAATTTGTTCAACACTTTTTGACTATTAATTGATACTTTTGACAGAATATTACTCTAACTTATCAACAATTTAAAGAAGAGAGTGTAAAAGGAGTTAAAAAGAAAATAATGTGAGTATTAGTAGAGAGAGTGTAAGAAAATAAAACAATATTTTCTTGATTTTTTCTATTTGAATTGGGTTGAAGAGAATAAAATAATAATTTTAAATATATACTTTTTATCATAAATAATTAATGTTTTTCTTTAAAAAATTTAACACATAATTTATTCTTGGTAAAAAATTGAGGCCCCCTAAAATTGGGGGCCTAAGGCCAATGCCTTATTTTTGTATACATAGAGCCGGCCCTGATTATTTCATATCTAAAATCTGAAACTGTATAAAGGAAATTTTGAGTTGATCGGAAATGAATAGTCAATGTATACTTCATGTATTGTTCGTGTATACTTTATATATAGTTAAATTATATTTAGTTTTCTGAGTGTATTGTAATGTATAGTCAGTATATAATTAATGTATAATTAAGTTATATTCGACTTTTTGAATGTGTTTGAATATGTAGTTTTTATATATATTTTATGACTTTGGGTATTTTTTATGTAAATAGATAAAACATGACTATATTTATTGTAAACTAATTACTTTATTTTATATATTTAAAACTAGCCCTATTTTAAATTATTAACTTATTGTGACTTGTGATATCTTTTAGGTAGTTTTTAAATTTGTTGATTATATTTCTAGATATTTGAAATTGTATTTTAAAATTCACATCAAAATTTGATAATTTCAAATTCATAAATTAATAGATTTATCAAAAATTAGATGGGGGTGGAACTTACTGTGCAATGGGATATTTGCTTAGTTTCCCCAATAAAATAACGAAGATATATTTGATTCTAACTACTAATAAAAAAATAAATTTGTTTCATTTCATATCGCTCAGAGCAAATTTGACACTTTAATCATTGTGGCTTTCAATTTTAAAGAAAAAAAGAGAGAAGAAGTTGCAGTTACATTTGAATACGCAATTAAAATTAATTAATTCATAAATGATATGACTAAATACAGTAAATGGATATTGGCGTTGTCTATTTTATGACAATTCTTAATTATAGTAACGGATAATAATGAAATTACAAAGAATAACGAGTTGTTACAACTTTAACTAATCATTCTAATTATTATTAATAGTAATACCTAACAACTAATAATGTCAACAAATTTTTCTTTGGAGCATTAATTTTGTAGATGAATTATTAGCAACTTATATATTTTGGACTTTTGGTCATGTTAGGTGTATTTTTCTCTCTCCTTACTTTAGTGTTGGTAGAGGTATGCCAATTTAAGTTCGAACAATTTAGAATTATTTTTCTTTCTTTCCATTGGATTGACATTTTTGCAACTAACTATAGATTATAGATGTCAATATAATTGCCGAATTCGTTTAAGTTTAGATGAATTATTGATCTGTCCACTTAATTATTAGTTCAATTTATTTCAATTTTTTAAAATTGAGTTGATATGTAGTTTAAATTTATTTATGAAAAATCTTATCAAAATATTTTCAATTCTTTTTCTTCTTATTTGATATGTTGTATTTATGATCATTTGAACTTTTGCACATAATTTGTGTTGATAATTTTTGCCCTCAAGATGAGATATAAGTCTATGTTTTTGCATCATAATATTTCATAAGTTATGTCCCTCAAAGAGCTTATACTCGGTAAGCATAAGTTTGCTTGCTAAAGACAAAAATTAAAGATAAACTTATTTGAAAGTCAAAAAATTAAAAACCAACTTATTTAAATGACAAATCGTATTAGTCTTATATATAACCAGAATGAAGCAATAAGTAGTTTATAATGTACTATATTTTTTATATATATAAAATAACAAATAAAATAATTAAAATTTAGTAAGAATTGAGCGGATTGTGTTATGAGTTATGATCCACATTTTAGACCAAGTAACTTAAGAATGATTTGTTATCTCTTGTATTCATATTAACAAATCAGAAATAATAAAGGATAAAAAGAAAAAGAAAAGAACTATCCAAGTCCACATAACCTACTGTGTGTCCTTAAGACCTTAAAGTACTCAAGGTTGTAGATTAATTCTTCCCAAGATAAAACATATTAACTATTAAAGAAGTAGTGGTACCTCAAACTTTGATTATTTCAACGAACTCAAGAAGATATCAATGAGATCACACACAGAGACGCTATCGATTGATTTTGTTTATAAGAAATGTATGCAGAAGAAGGTAAGAATTTGATGTAGAAAAATGAGAGAAAATCTCTCTATTGATAACCAACAAAAGGGTAGTATGAAAATGTAATAATTGTGCCTTATCGAAAAGGTCACAACTCGTTGAAAAAGAGACAACCTTTCAAAAAGGTCACAACCCTTTGCAAAAGACACAACCTTTCGAATGGTCACAACCCTTTTAGAAAAGACACAACTCTTCACAAAAGTCGCAACCCTTCAAGAGAGTCACAACCTTGCACTTCCTATTCACACCTTTAAAACCCAACATGATTTAATAACCCACCAATATTATTAACTCATCAACCTATTTTAATTCGCTTAAATTCAATAAAAACAAGTACCACAAATGACATTACACATTATGTCTTACTTACGCAACAACACGTGCACTTCATCTTTAGTTTTCACCCATACCCACCATAGCCTTTGTTCCCACCATCACACAATCCCACCACGCACCCCACCCCTAC